CCCAGATATTTGGTAAAACGCTATTCTGGATATATCTGTGAGAGTGTTTCTGGAGAAGATTAACATTTGAATCAGGAGACTGAGTAAAGCAGATTGCCTGCCCTAATGTGATCTCATCCAATCCCTTGAAGTCTAAATAGAACACAAAAAGACTGTTTAGGGGAAAATTTGCTCTGCCTGATAGTCCTCAAGCTGAAGCATCAGTTTCTTCCACCTTTGGCGTCATATTTAGACTGTAATTATGCCATCAGCATTCCTGGGTGTCCAGCTTACTGAGCACAGATGGATTGGGAATTCTCAGCCTCCATAATCACATGAGCTAATTTCTTTTCTTTTCTTTTCTTTCTTCTCTTTCTTTTTTTTTTTTTTTTTTTTTTTTTTTTTTTTTTTTTTTTCTTTCTTATCTTTCCTCCTCCCTCCTTTCCCTTCCCTCCTCCCCCTCCCCTCCCTCCCCTAATTTTTTTTTTTTGTGGCTTTCCGTTTCCATGGTCTCTTCTGCCTTATCCTTGTCGTCTATTCAGTTGAACGGTTTTTTTTCTTTCTTTCTCTTTCTTTCTTTCTTTTTTCTTATTTTCCTTCCTTCCTTCCTTCCTTCCTTCTCTCTCCCTCTTTCTTTCTTTTCTTTCTTTTTTTTTTTTTTTTTGGAGTTTTGTTCTATTGCCCAGGCTGGAGTGCAATGGCACGATCTCAGCTCACCGCAACCTCTGCCTCCTGGGTTCAAGCAATTCTCCTGCCTTGGCCTCTGGAGTAGCTGCGATTACAGGCATGTGCTAATATTGTATTTTTAGTGTAGACGGGGTTTCTCCATGTTGGTCAGGTTGGTCTCCAACTCCTGACCTCAGGTGATCTGCCCGCCTCGGCTTCCCAAAGTGCTGGGATTACAAGCATGAGCCACTGCGCCCAGCTGCCAATTTCTTGTAATAAATTTTATATATATTTTTTCTTGACAAGATCCTAGAAAAGTATAGGAAAGGGAGGTGGGAGCTAATTTTTACAAGTCTCTCATAGCTCCTATTGGTTCTGTTTCTCCGGAGAATCCTGGCTAATATAAAATTTGCTATTTTGATCATTTTTAAATGTACAGTTCAGTGACATTAAGTACCTTTACATTGTTGTGTAATCATCACTACTATACATCTCCAGAAATTTGTCATCATCCCAAACTGAAATTCTAAACTCATCAAAACGCCTGGGAGACATGGCAAAACCCCATCTCTACAAAAAACACAGAAATTAGCCAGGCATGGTGGTGCGTGCCTGCAGTCCCAGCTACTCGAGAGGCTGAAGTGGGAGGATTGCTTGAGCCTGGGAGGTAGAGGTTGCAATGAGCCAAGATCACACCACTGCATTCCAGCCTGGGTGACAGAGTGAGAGACCCTGACAAAGAAAAGAGAAGAGAAGAGAAGAGAAGAGAAGAGAAGAGAAGAGAAGAGAAGAGAAGAGAAGAGAAGAGACCAACAAAAAGCCAGGTGTGGTAGCGCACGCCTGTGATCCCAGCACTTTGGGAGGCTGAGGTGGGTGGATCACTTGAGCTCAAGAGTTTGAGACCAGCCTGGCCAACATGGCAAAACCCTATTGCTACTAAAAATACAAAAATTAGCCAAGCGTGGTGACGTGCGCCCATAGTCCCAGCTACTCAGGAGGCTGAGGCACGAGAATCACTTGCCTCTAGGAGGCAGAGGTTGCAGTGAGCCGAGATCGCACCACTGCACTCTAGCCTGGGCAACAGAGCAAGACCCTGTCTCAAAAAACAAAAACAGGCCAGGTGCAGTGGCTCATGCCTGTAATCCCAGCACTTTGAGAGGCTGAGGCAGGTGGATCATTTGAGGTCAGGAGTTCAAGACCAGCCTGGCCAACATGGTAAAATCCCATCTTTACTGAAAATACAAAAATTAGCTGGGCGTGGTGGCGCGCCTGTAATCCCAGCTACTCAGGAGGCTGAGGCATGAGAATCGCTTGAACCTGGGAGGCAGAGATTGCAGTGAGCCAAGACTGCACCACTGCACTCCAGCCTGGGCAATGGAGTGAGATGCAGTCTCAATAAATAAATAAATCCCTATTGTTCCTTCTTACCAACCCCCCTCATAGCCACCACACTACTCTCTGTGTCTCTATGACTGTGACTACTCTAGGTACCTCATATAAGTGGAAAAATACAATATTTGTTCTTTTGTGTCTGGCTTAGTTCAGTTAGCATAATGTTTTCAAAGTTCAACTATCTTGTAGCATGTGTCAGAATTTCAATCTTTTTTTCTTTTTTTTTCCAGACAGGGTCTTGCTGTGTCACCCAGGCTGGAGTGCAGTGGTGTGATCATGGCTCACTGCAGCCTCGACCTCCTGGGCTCAGGTAATACTCCTATCTCAGCCTCCCAAGTAGCTGGGACTACAGGTATGTGCCACCATGCCCAGCTAATTTTTTGTAGAGATGGGGTTTTGCCGTGTCACCCAAGCTGGTCTCGAACTCCTGGACTCAGAAGTGAAATCGCTGGATCAAATGGTAATTACATGTCTAATTTTTTTAGGAACTACCATGCTGTTTTCCGCAGTGGCTGCAACTTTTATAGCCCCACCAACAGTACACAAAGGTTCTAATTATTCCACATTGTGGCTAACACTTGTTATTAATGGTTTATTGTTTTTTGGTAGTAACATCCTAATGGATGTGATGCGGTATCTCATTGTAATTTCTTTTATCTTTCTTGGTACTCACTGTTTGTAGCATCATTGTAATTTTGATCCGCATTCCCCTGATGACTAGAGATGTTCAGCATCTTTTCATGTGTTTATCAGCCATCTGCATGTCTCCTTTGGAGAAATGTCTATTCAAGTACTTTGCCTATTTTTGAGTGGATTATTTCATTTTTTGTTGAATTTTAGGAGTTCTGTATATATTGTGGGTATTAATCCTTTATCAGATATGTGATTTGCAAGTATTTTCTTCCATTCTGTGGGTTGCCTTTTTTACTGCTGATAGTTTCAAACTTACGATCCACAAAAAGTTTTAATTTTGATAAAGTCCAAGTTGTCTATTTTTTCTTTCTCTCTCTTTCTCTCTCTCTCTCTTTTCTCTCTCTCCTTCCTTCCTTCCTTCCTTCCTTCCTTCCTTCCTTCCTTCCTTCCTTCCTTCCTTCTTTCCTTCCTTTCTTTCTTTCTTTCTTTCTTTTCTTTCTTTCTTTCTTTCTTTCGACAGGGTTTCACTCCCATTGCCCAGGCTAGAGTGCAACGGTGAGATCTTGGCTCACTGCAACCTCCGCCTCCTGTGCTCAAGTAATTCTCCTGCCTTCGCCTCCCAGGTAGCTGGAACTACAGGTGCAAGCCACTGTGCCCAGCTAAATTTTGCATTTTTGGTAAAGACAGGGTTTCACCAGGTTGCCCAGGCTGGTCTCAAACTCCCAGGCTCAAGAGATCCACCCACCTTGGCCTCCCAAAGTGTTGAGATTACAGGCGTGAGCCACCGTGCCTGGCCTATTTTTTAATTTGTTGCCTGTACTTCTGGTGTCATATTATTCAAGAAATCATTGCCAAATCCAATGTCATAAAGCTTTTCCTGTGTGTTTTCTTCTAAGAGGTTTTTTGTTCATTTATTTTTAGAAACAGGGTCTTGCTCTGTTGCCCCAGCTAGAATACAGTGGCATGATCTTAGCTCACTGCAGCCTTGGCTGCCTGGGCCCAAGCAGTCCTCCCACCTCAGCCTTCTGAGTAGGTGGGACCACAGGCGTGTGCACCATGCCCAGCTAATTTTTATTTTTTTATTTATTTTATTTTATTTATTTATTTTTTTGAGATGGAGTCTCACTCTGTCACTCAAGCTGGAGTGCAAAGGCACGATCTCGGCTCACTGCAAACTTCGTCTCCTGAGTTCAAGTGATTCTCCTGCCTCAGCCTCCCAAGTAGCTGGGATTACAGGTGTGTGCCACCACACCTGGCTAATTTTTGTATTTTTAGTAGAGATAGGGTTTCACCATGTTGGCCAGGCTGAACTTCTGACCTCAGGTGATCCACCCACCTCGGCCCCCAAAGTGCTGGGATTACAGGCGTGAGCCACTACGCTCGGCCAATTTTTAAATTTTTTATAGAGATAGGGTCTCCTTATGTTGCCCAGGTTGGTCTCCAACTCACGAGCTCAAACAACCTTCCAGTATCGGCCTCCCAGAGTGCTGGGATTGTAGGCATGAGCCACCATGCCCAGTCTCTTCTAAGAGTTTCATAGTTTTAGCTAGCTCTTCTCTTTATGTTTGATCCATTTTGAATTAATTTTTGTATGTGGTGTTAGATAAGAGTCTAACACCATTCTTTTGCATGAAAATATCCAGTTTTCCCAGCATCACTTGTTGAATCCCTGATTTCTTTTTTTTTTTTTTTTTTTTTTTTTTGAGACGGGTTCGCTGTCGCCAGGCTGGGTGCGTGGGGATCAGCTCCTGCAGCTTGTCGGTTTTTACATTCTCTGTCCTCCGTGCCACTCGCCCGCCCTCCCGCTTTTTTGTATTTTTTGTAGAGAGGTCACTGTTGCCATGGTTCGACTGACTCTGATCGCCGTCTCGGCTCCAAGTGCTGGATTCGTTGAGCCGGCGATCCTGTTTTTTTTTTTTTTTTTTTTTTTGAGATGGAGTCTCGCTCTGTAGCCCAGACTGGAGTGCAGTGGCCGGATCTCAGCTCACTGCAAGCTCCGCCTCCTGGGTTCACGCCATTCTCCGGCCTCAGCCTCCCGAGTAGCTGGGACTACAGGCGCTGCCACCTCGCCCGGCTAGTTTTTGTATTTCTTAGTAGAGACGGGGTTTCACCGTGTTAGCCAGGATGGTCTCGATCTCCTGACCTCGTGATCAGCCCATCTCAGCCTCCCAAAGTGCTGGGATTACAGGCTTGAGCCACCGCGCCCTGCCCGAATCCCTGATTTCTAAAACCCCAGTCGGTTAGGAATTTTGTTCAGCTTGAAGAAATAAAAACTGACTACAGTAGCCTAAACATACAAGTTTTTATTATTTCACATAAAGGAAGTCCATGGGTAGCCTGTTCTCAGCCGCTATAATATGAAGGCTCCTTGGAGATCTAGGCTCCTTCTTTCTCTTCTGCCAGACATGGCTTCCATTCTAGGCCCACTATGGTTGTGTGAACTACAGCCAACACCTGGGAATTCCAAGCAGCAGGAAGGAGGAAGGGGGAAGGGATAAAACAATGTCACTCTCTTTAAAAGGCCTAAGTCTTGAACTGTAGGAGTTCATTCAGGGTGGTGGGAAAAATTATAGAAAGATGCAAACCTTCTTAGAAGGCCAGGAGGCTTTGCAAAAGCTTTGGGAAAAAGTTTGGCTGAAGGCAGCTGAATTCTCTCAAAGTAGATAACGAAGAAGTGTAAGAGAACTGATCTAGGTAAGTTAGTTTACACAGGCCTTGGAACCTGGCCTTTAATCATCCATGCAGGACTGCTCTCTCTGGGAGGGTGACCATGTTAATTACCCACAAGTGTGTTGACTCAAGGCCTTTGTCATTAAATCTGTACTGAATAAATGCCTGCAGCACTGGCTTGTCAAGGCTACGGCTGCTGACTCTTTACAGCACCTTCACCTTCCTTGGTATCTGTGAGCAGCCCAGTCCCCTAGCTGTGCAGCCAGGCAAAAAACCTGTGTCTGCATACATTTTTTCATCCATTGCTCAGCCAGGGTCTGCAGGTCAGACCCGGCATTGAACACTTCCACTTAAATCTCATTGGCTACAACTTAGTCTCATAGCTGCAAAGGAGTCTGGGAAATAACAGGCCCTTATCTGGGTACATGGCCATCCCAAATTAAATCAGGGTACTCTTGCCAAGGTGGAAGGGGCAAATGAATGTGGGCTTAGATAGCTAGCAGCCTCCATCTCAGGCACCTAACATATCTGAAATGCTATGGTGATCTGTCTCCTGGGGAAAACAATAAGAAAATGGTTACACAGTGCTTAGCAAAATGTCTGGCTCAAGCTATGCACTCAAAAAATGTTAGCTATTATTTTTACTTCTATTACTCTCTGATTTCAGGCCTGTTCTTATACCAGGATGGAACCAGTGGTTCTCTGTGTGGTGTGATGGAAAGACCTCAGAAGTGAAAACTGGCCCCCAAAGAGACTCTCTGCCATACATGTTTCTCTCTTCAGACTCTGTTTTAAATCCAAGGAGGGTGAAATAGGAGGGGAACAGGTAGCTTTAAGAAACAATCTCGGCTGGGCGCGGTGGCTCACGCCTGTAATCCCAGCACTTTGGGAGGCCAAGACGGGCGGATCACGAGGTCAGGAGATCGAGACCATCCTGGCTAGCACAGTGAAACCCCGTCTCTACTAAAAAATACAAAAAAAATTAGCCGGGCGAGGTGGCGGGCGCCTGTAGTCCCAGCTACTTGGGAGGCTGAGGCAGGAGAATGGCGTGAACCTGGGAGGCGGAGCTTGCAGTGAGCTGAGATCCGGCCACTGTACTCCAGCCTGGGCGACGGAGCAAGACTCCGTCTCAAAAAAAAAAAAAAAAAAGAAACAATCTCAGCCTCAGTGTAGCTCTCTGTCTCTGAGCTTTTTGCCTGGCTGCTGGCTGGGATCCGAGCCCCATGGGCATGGGAGTCAGGAGGAAGGGGTCACATGGCTGCCAGGGAATACAGGCTGGGTGTAGCACTGGTGAGGATGAAATGCACAGGAAGGGGCTGGTCAGCTGCCTCTGTTGGGATGCAGGGGTGGGGGCCCTTTGAAGGGGGCGGAGGGCGTGCTTTGATCCTCCCTGCCCCTCCCAGGCCATATCTGGACACTCTGTCAGGCGTAGCCTAGTTAATTGCAGTGAAACAGGGCAGGTCAGGAAGGCCGGGGATCTGGGATCTGGAGCGAGCACCGCCTATCAAGTGTGTGGAGGTGGTACAGAACACAGAGTGCCTGCCATGCTGCCAGGCCCAGGCAGCGTCTGCATACGGCTCTGAGGCCTGGGGCCACTCAGAAGTCAGCTTGGAGCAAGGTGACAGCAGGCCCACACTGCCAGGAAGAGAAGTGGGACTGGAAATGGAACTTCATGTCAGAAACCAGGCCCTAGGGGGCCTATTTGGCAGCAGAAGAGAAGGCCTGAGGTCAGTCCTAGTGGACATGATATTCAGAGTATATAATCACTAGTATGGTCAGATGCCCACCAGTGAGGGCAGACCCAGACCTTACAACTAGGACAGGATTCTGGAGACCTCCTACGAGGTCAGGGGCCAACACTTTGTTTTCTGAATCATGGAAATGTTCTGGGGCCGAGGTACATTGGACTCACCATCTCCTTGTTTCCTTTCTAACTGAAGTTTCCGGAAGTCTGAGTTGAACTTCTTTCTCTTGCACATAAAGGAGTCCTGCAGTAAGGGGATCACACACAGCCACACACAGAGAAAGGCAGCAAAAAGTAGAAAGACGAAGATGAGAAAGTTAAAGTGCCCCGCACTTCAGCCCAGTCAAGGACTAGGAAAGCAAAAGTTTCCTAGTAACTACACTGTGCATTTCCTTAACCGTGTTTGATATTAATTCCTGTGCCTGCCCCTTTGTAGGGAGGTAGAAACACCATTTGCTTCCATCTATTTAAAAATAATTAAATGGATACAACTCAGTATTACATGTTGTAGTGGCTGCATTGTTTTTCTCCCATAATTAGGGAAAAATGGGAAGAAGTTTTTCTACATGTTCTACATATGGAACATAGATATGGGGGACACAGGAGACAAGAAAATATGGTCCTTCTTTTTCAAAAACTTACTGTCTAAATAGACAATTAGCCTCTACTAGGAAGAAATTTCACAATTGCTAGGAGAGAATGCACACACTGTCACAGCTTCTGAAGTCATCGGGATAGACCTTCTAGTTTGAATCTGAAATAAACTCTGCAATAAGTTTCTATGGGAAGAATCCTGTAAAACCCACATTTGCTGCCAGCTTCTTAAACGTGTTGCCATTACTATGTTACATGAAGTGTGTTGAAAGCCAAGGTAGCCATTTAGAAAACTGCAGCCAGAAGCCTATGGTGACAATGAATGGTTCTGTTTTTTTGTGGGTTTTTTTGTTTTTGTTTGTTTGTTTGTTTGTTTTGCAGTATCACTTTTTTTATTTTAAAAAATTGAGATATAATTTCTACGCCATAAAAGTCACCATTTAAAATATACAATAGGCCGGGCACAGTGGCTCACGCCTGTAATCCCAGCACTTTGCAAGGCCGAGGCAGGTGGATCACTTGAGGTCAGGAGTTCAAGACCAGTCTGACCAACGTGGTGAAACCCCATCTCTACTAAATACAAAAATTTAGCTGGGCGTGGTCGTGTGCACCTGTAATCCCAGCTGCTAGGGAGGCTGAGGCAGGAGAAATTGCTTGAACCCGGGAGGTGGAGGTTGCAGTGAGCCGAGGTTGCACCATCGCACTCCAGCCTGGGCCACAAGAGCGAAACTCCATCTCAAAAAAAAAAAAAAGGTATACAATTCAGTGGGTTTTAGTAAAAGTTTGTGCAATCATGACAGCACTGTCTAATTCTACAGCATTTTCATTACCCCCAAAAGAAACCCTATACCTATTAGCAGCTGCTTCCCATTCCTCCCTTTCTCCAGCCCCTGGCAACCACTAATCTACTTCCTGTCTCTGTGGATTTGCCTACTCTGGACATTTTATATCAGTAGGGCCATATATACCATGTGAACTTTTCTGACTGGCTTTTTTCACATAGCATAACATTTTCTTTTTTTTTTTTTTTTTTTTTTTTTTTTTGAGACGGAGTCTCGCTCTGTCGCCCAGGCTGGAGTGCAGTGGCTGGATCTCAGCTCACTGCAAGCTCCGCCTCCCGGGTTCCCGCCATTCTCCTGCCTCAGCCTCCCGAGTAGCTGGGACCACAGGCGCCGCCACCTCGCCCGGCTAATTTTTTGTGTTTTTAGTAGAGACGGGGTTTCACCGTGTTAGCCAGGATGGTCTCGATCTCCTGACCTCGTGATCAGCCCATCTCAGCCTCCCAAAGTGCTGGGATTACAGGCTTGAGCCACCGCGCCCGGCCATAGCATAACATTTTCAAGGTTCGTTCATGTTGTAGCAGGAATCAGTCCTTCATTTCTTTTTGATGCTGAACAATATTCCATTACATAGATAGACCATATTTTGTTTATCCATTCATTAGTTGAGGATCATTTGGGTTATTTACACTGAACTTTTTTTTAAGGAAGCCTGGCCGGGCACGGTGGCTCAAGCCTGTAATCCCAGCACTTTGGGAGGCCGAGACGGGTGGATCACGAGGTCAGGAGATCGAGACCATCCTGGCTAACACGGTGAAACCCCGTCTCTACTAAAAAATACAAAAAACTAGCCGGGTGAGTTGGTGGGCGCCTGTAGTCCCAGCTACTCGGGAGGCTGAGGCAGGAGAATGGCGTAAACCTGGGAGGCGGAGTTTGCAGTGAGCTGAGATCCGGCCACTGCACTCCAGCCCGGGAGACAGAGCGAGACTCCGTCTCAAAAAAAAAAAAAAAAGGAAGCCTGGTCTATGTTGTGGTCAAAATTATTATAAGTGGCTAGGCACAGTGCTTCACGCCTGTAATCCCAGCACTTTGGGAGGCAGAGGCGAGTGGATCACTTGAGGCCAGGAGTTCAAGACCAACGTGGGCAACATGGCAAAACCTCATCTCTACAAAAATTATAAAAATTAGCTGGGCATGGTAGTGCATGCCTATAGTCCCAGCTACAGGAGGCTGAGGCAGGAGGATCACTTCAACCCAGGGGGCTGAGGCTGCAGTGAGCCATGATCGTGTCCCTGCACTCCAGCCAAAGCAACAGAGTGAGACCTTGTCTCAAAAGAAAATTGTTATAAGTGATATTTCCTGTTTTCTTAGTCAGTTTGGGCTGCTATAACAAAAATGCCGTAGTCTGGGTAGTTTAAATAACAAACATTTATATCTGACAGTTCTGGAAGCTGGGAAGTCAAAGATGAGGGTGCCAGTATATCAGTATATCTGGTATCTAGTGAAGGCACTCTTCCTAGTTTTCAGATAGCTGTCTCCTTGTTGTATCTTCACATTGTCAGGAGAGGCAGACACACACACATACAAACTCACACAGAGTCAGTCAGTTTTTTTTTTTTTCTTTTTCTTTTTTTTGGAGACAGAGTCTTGCTCTGTTGCCCAGGCTGGTGTGCAATGGCGTGATCTTGGCTCGCTGCAACCTCCACCTCCCAGGTTCAAGCAATTCTCCTGCCTCAGCCTCCTGTGTAGCTGGGATTACAGGTACCCGCCACCATGCCCAGCTAATTTTTATATTTTTAGTAGAGTTGGGGTTTCACCATGTTGGTCAGGCTGGTCTTGAACTCCTGACCTCAGGTGATCTGCCCGCCTCAGCCTCCCAAAGTGCTGGAATTACAGGCGTGTGCCACTGGGCCCCACCCAGTCAGTTCTTATAAGGGCACTAATCCCATCATGGGAGCTCCACCTTCAGAAACTGATTATTTCCCAAAGGCCCCACCTCCTAATACTATCCCACTGGGAGTTAAAGTTTCAATATATGAATTTTTGGAGGGGACACAAACACGCAGTTCCTAACGCCTGTCCCCTCTCTCCTGGCTGTAGAGCCCCCACCCCCACCGCAGGAATTGGTATACTCTGTGTCAGTGCAGTAAAGAAGGAAAGAAACCCTGTATTCTGCCTATGGATGAAACCAGCTACACAGCTTTGGATCAATCACTGCAATATTAGCCCATGTTATGAAACTTGCCCCTGGGCATTTTTCTTGCTATTCAGACAAGGTAGCTATTATCTCAAGCCTTACCCGGTGAGCTTGCTAGAATTCCCTTCCAGCCCTGTGCTCTGTGGAGAAAAACCTTCACAACCCTCCTGCTTCACAGCTTAGTGAGAGAGTAAGAACTCCCCCTCTGTGGGAGGACATTCGTCTATTCATGAGGAATCCACCCTCATAACCCAGACATCCCACTAGGCCCAACACCATCACATTAGGGATCCAATTTCAACATACATTTTGGTGGGGACTATTAAACCCTGTCCAAACCATAGCACCATCTTATCCAGCACTTCCACTTTGGGGTAGATACCCAAAAGAATTGAAAACAGGGACTTGAAGGAATAGAGTGTACCCCCATGTTCATAGCAGCGTTATTCACAATAGCAAAAAGGAGGAAGCAGCCTGTGTCCATCGATAAATGAATGAATACACAAAATGTGGTATATAAATACAATGAAACAGTATTCAGCCTTAAAAAAAAAAAATGAAATTCTGACGTATGCTAAAAAAGGGATGAACCTTGAGGACTTTATGCTGCATGAAATAGCCAGTCATAAAAGGATAAATACTGTATGATTCCACTTATACTAAGTACATAGAGTAGCCACATTCCTAGAGATCGACATTCACAGTTCTAGAATGCTGGTTGCCAGGGGCCAGGAAGTGGGGGTTGGGAGCAGCGGCGGTCGGGGAGGAGGAGGAAATGGGAATTATTGTTTAATCGGAGTTACAGTGTCAGTTTTACAAGATGTAGAGTTATGGAGAGGGATGATGGGATGATTGTAATGGTTATGCAACATTATGAATGTATCTAATACCACTGTACTGTACACTTTAAAATGGCTAAGGTGGTAAATTTTATGTTATGTGTATCTTAACACAATAAAAAATTGCAGAAAGAAGATCTTGTAGTCATCTTTTTGCCTTATTTCTAAACTATGCATAATTTTTCCTAAACAGTCTCCCCTGTGACCATAAATAATCTCTGAAGACCATTCTTGATCACATAGTAAAAGGGCTGATCTCATGCTTTTGTGCCAAGATCATTATTTGAACTTCTTGCTTAGTTGGCCATTTTCCACAGTACTTTTTTTTTTTTTCTTTTTTTCTTTTTTGAGACAGAGTCTTGTTCTGTTGCCCAGGCTGGAGGGCAGTGGTGAGATAGTGGCTCACTGCAACCTCTGCCTCCTGGGTTCCAGTGATTCTTGTGCCTCAGCCTCCAGAGTAGATGGGATTACAGGCACCCACCACGATGCCCAGCTAATTTTTGTACTTTTAGTAGAGATGGGGTTTCACCATGTTGGCCAGACTGGTCTCAAACTCCTGGCTTCAAGTGATCCGCCCACCTCTGCCTCCCAAAGTACGGGCATTACAGGCATGAGCAACCATGCCCGGCCTCTATAGTTCTTTTGATGGAAATTAGATATAGGCATAATTTACAGCACACAGACATGATTATGATGACCAAAAATTTTTGTAAAATCATAGACTTTAAAATTTTTTTAAGTTTATTTTTTAATTAACATATAATAGTCATACATATTTTGGGGTACATGTGGTATTTTGATACCTGTATACAATGGGTAATGATCAAATCAGGGT